GAATGCAGCGGTCGCTAAAGATGCTTTATATTACAATTTTTGGGAAACTTTTTATATTTTGATCATTAAAAGTCGATTTTAGTACAAAATAAACATGATATTCAGAATCAGCATAAACAACTGCATCGAATATCTTATATTTTAGGGTGTGTGTGTGGGTGTGGGTGTGGATGAGTGTGGGTGAGTGTGGGTGTCAGTGTGAATTATCTCTTTACCCGCACCCGCACGCCCACACTAACACCCACATCCACACCCACACCCTTCTCTAATTGTAGAGTAATCTACCCCTATGCGCAGTTTAATAAACTCTTCTCTTCATGATTGTAGAAATGTGTACTATTCTGCGTGCAATAATAAAACCTTCTTTCAATAATGGTAGAATGACCTACCCGTAGGCGTAGAATGATAAACCCACTTCTTAAAACCGCAGAGTGATCGACGCTTCTGTTGTAATCGTTGGATAATCTACCATTGCGCGTAGAATAATAAACTATGTTGTGATCCTCGTAGAATGATCTACCCTGACGCGTGTAACAATATACCCTATTAATGAAAACGTAGAATAATATACCCTTGAGGGTAGAATAGCAAATCCTATTGATAAAAACTTTGATTGATAAACCCTCAACTAAGCGTCATATACCCTTTTTATTTTCATATACCCTCATTGTTATAAACCCTTTCGCTCATAAACCCTTAAAAGATATATGAAGTGATTATAAACCCTTGAAGGGTTTATGGAATCGTTTTCCAAGTTAAAGAGTTGATTATTCTACGGATTTTTTTTCAGTGTACAGTATTTAGTATTTTGGCTATAACATCATCATTACTCAATGAAAATCAAAAAATATTTTTACCAAAATGATCAGCGAAAAAAGCTCTACAGAAATAGATATAAGAGAAAATTTTTAGAATATCCTTGCTATTCGTTTATGTGTAAAAATAAAAAAGTCCAGGCTTTTTTCGGCCCTCACTGTATTACTTTCAAGCTCAAGCCTGAGAAGAATCATAACTCTTATACTGAGTATTTTTTTCTCATTCAGCTTTCGTTGAAAAATTAGTTTTGTTTAGTGTATTTTCCCTCTGCAATCTACAATATCGATCTAGATTCTGGCTATTTTGAAAGAGTATGGCTATCTCTAAATTCATATTGTATGGGAATTGTAGGATATTCTGATCCGTGAACGGTATCTTTATTTTGCCTTTTTAGATTATAATAACTCTGATACTAAACAATGGGTTCAGGTGCAAGTAGTAACCAAACGAGAGTGTTCTATCCAATCCGCCCATTGCCAACGCAGGATCCATTGAGACAGAAAGCTTCACAAACCCAACGTCGAAATTCTTCATCACCTACATCCTCAACATCATTGAGAAAGACACACAGAAAACCCAAAATGCAAGAATTGGAATGGCCATTGCCACCGACTGATTTTGAAGACGAATTCGTACCAGTATGGTCAAGCGATCCCGATCGATATTCCATAAAAAAGGCATATAACGTAAAGGTTCGCTGTATTCTTTATTAATTAGTAGATATTGATTTACGTTTCAAAACACGGAACATAGAACAAATGATTGATTAACGAACTTTTCTTTTGAGAGCACTGACACAATACTTGAACTTCGAAGATCCTTCCTAATAAGAAAATCTCGATTCGATTTGAATCTAAGAAGCAAAAAGAAAATTCCTTCATTACCATGAATAAAATATATTTATATTCTACATAAAATTCTATTCAAATTTTCATGCATCTAGACGCTTAATTTGCTGATTTAGGACTTACTTCTAAGGAAAAGAAAAGATAATAAGGGAAGATTAATTTGTGTTTTTTAAACACTATCTAGAGTTGACATTATTTGATCTTTTTGCGAAGCCAATGAGACATCTCATGTACATTTCCTCTCCGATACATCCTATAGTTTATAAATGAGTTTAATCTATCATGAAAATAAGTTACTCTATATCCGTTATAATATAATAGCTATATAGTCTAACTTCTTCTCTATCGATCCACATAAGGTCAAGATAGATAGCTATTGGCGTTGAAAATGTAGAAATTTTACTGAAGACTAGTCAGCAATTTTTCTCAAAATCCTAATAACTAATTGAATATTTTCTTCTGTAAATTCTTAGCTGCCGCTAACTTCATAAAATTATCTATTAATCTTGAAAGATTTTTTTTCTACCAGAAATGGCATCCAACGCACTGCATCGAAATTATTCTGATGATAATAAATCAATGTTTTTAAGTTAGTTCAGTTGGTAACTATTGATATTATAGTGTGTAGAAATATTATTTCGTATAACCTGATTCAATTATGTAAGCAATATAGGCTTTTGTATGAATAAATTACGTATTATTTTCTGACAAACGAACGTGTCTTTGATGTAATCTCCACCTATCTTGATATATCGGTACCATTAAATTTGATTTCCTTGCAACCTATACTAGAACATCTACATTCTGTCAAACACACGACCACAAAGTAACCTGAGACATGGATATTGGTGAAGAGTCTCGAAATTAGAGTTACTAAATTTCAGATCAAATATCTACAGGCATATAGTCACTCATGCTTACATCTCTTAATATGTGGCTTTTATGACATTTTAGATAGAAAACAATCATCGAAGGTTAATAAATCTGAGCAGAAGTGTGACTGAGATGTATCATTGGCTTTGCTAAAAAGTTGAGTAATATCGACTGCAGATACTGCTAAAAAATGAAATTATTTTTCTGCTGTTACATTAATACTACCATTTCCTTCACTCTGAAATTGACAATAGTAAATAATATAGTAATACCAAAACGATAAACGCAGTATAATACAGATAGTAGAAGTAGATTCATCCAGCATATAAGCTTAGATCAAGTGAAGCAAAAAACATTGCTTAGAGAAATTCAGTTCTATTGAAAAAGATATTTAAGAAGTTAAATTGTAGGTATTGACCAGATCAAGATTCATAAGTTATATATGTACTCCGAGAGCTACTCAATGCTGTGACATGTTAATATGTAAGAGCTCTCTGGAAATGATACTTAGGCTAGATAATTTTTTTAGAAATGCAAGTGATTGAAACAAACCTCAGACGATCGTACTAAACCATTGATATTAATAATAAAAGATCAATAGTCAGCATTCGATTCAGTTACACAAAATTTCATGGAATCAATTAGTGCTGGAAATGACATTCGAGTTTCTTTGTTTAAACTGTCACTTAAACTCGGATGATTATGTGATTACTGTGGGATAAACATAATTTTTGTTCGATTTGTTTTTTTTACTCTTTTCTCGACAACTGCATGAGACATATTGGTTCATGTTTGACTAAGGGAATGTTCTTAGTGAAGCCTGAATGGTTAGGTGCATATTTTTGGTAATAAAATCAAAAATAAATTACTCTTCGTCTTTCAATCACTATTTAATCATCTGATCATGTTATTCTGCTCAACATGGACGATTTCTCATAAAGAATTTCGAGATCATGCTCTCAAAACATCAATGTTTTTTATCAGTTGAATTGATCGTAAAATCGATAGGGAAATTTTGACATTTTTTGTTTCTAGGCATCAAGCAACACGAACAAAATCAAAGTGTCTGATGAGAGGAAAGGAAATAAGGAATTTCACCAGAAAGAAACAAGTACGACTCAATGGAACATAGAGAATTCAAGTATTAATAATTCAGCACACGTTCAATCATCATTACGAACTCAATCTCATGCTTGCATTAATCTGTCAACGACACAAGAAATCGATACATTATTAGCTCAACTAAGAGAAGTTCATGCACAATTTGATCTAAATGTCGAACAACGAGGAAAAATTATATCGGAACAGTCAAAATTAATCATTGATCTAATTATTAATGATACGCGTGATGTGCAACAAAATCTACTGGTCTTTGCCAAACAACGACAGACAGCACAAGACAAACTATATAAAGAATGGTTACAAAAGTACGTCGTTGAATTAGATAAATGGAAGTCTAAATGTTTAGCCGAACTTCAAGCAGAATTACAGCCATATCACAGAGATATCATGACCCAATCGCAACAATTGATTACGATGGTTAACATAGAAGCAAACAATTTGCGAGACGAACTTCTCAAAATGGAACAAGCGAAGGCATCCACAGCAACTCAAGAAATTATTGATAAAATTCAGACCATGTCCACCCATCAATTAGGAACTGAAACCATGACAAAAATTAATTTAATTATACATGGAAATGTTGGGACAAAAGCTCCTGGTCAAGCTTGTGTATTCGATTTCGAACAAAGCGATACTGATAGTAATAAACATTCTGGATCGAAAACAAATCAGACAATAAGACAAGGTTCAACGAAAACGAATGGAGCGACTTCAATTAAAACAGTTAAGAATTCAACAAAAGAAACGATATCAACACAACAGAAAAAAACCACTGGTAAGACAACAACTGTTAGTGAAAATTATGATGAAAACATGAATGAAGAAGATGATCAATAAATTTTATTATAAAACTAAATTCTGTTCGATAAACTAATTTTGTGTACTTAAAAAGCTCGTAAAACAGAACTCTAAGAAATAAATAAATCAAGAATCACACGTTCAAATATTATCACAGAATATGGGTAAATAGTAGGCACTTGTGCCGCGCGTGTACTAATGAAACATAAGAATATGCTGAGAGCACAAGAATACAATCGGAATATGATTATAACCTGAAAGATAAAGTTTAAGTAACCATTGAAAAAAACATGATATCATTATTCAGATATTTTCTATCAAATCATGGATAGAAAATATTTAGTATAGATCACATCATTATCTACAGTAGTAATAGTATAAGTATGGATGTCATATAACAAAAAAGCACACATAAAACTAGATACTAGCTCTGTTTTTTTATCTGAGTGACCGGCAACTACACCTAATACGCTCATGGCGTTTCCAGAAATCTCAGGGCTGTATAGACTTAAATTTCATCAACAAATGAGCCATCGCTAGTGATTTTCCCTTTAAATACTTTCAAGGCTACTTCTTTCAGCAACTTGTCTTATCAGTAAGTTTTCCAAATTATGTCTGAGGTACATTCATCTTGGTGGACTACTATCATAACTTCGTTTCACGAGATTTCGGCTAACCTAGTACCTGTTTGGAAGAAGTTTTTGCCTGGATTGATAGTCACAAGGCTATTTTAATAAACTCGTTAGTCAAAATGTGAACAACTTGTAAGTTCTTGGGGGTGGATGTACGTGTATGGGTATCAATGACAGCAAGACTCCCACTTTCACGTCCGGCCCTCCATACCCCACATATAAGTAAATTAAAAAATATTATTTAACAATAAATTTATACTGATTACATAAATGTAATATAATGGATTGTATTGTTTATCAGAAGTTAGTAAATAACCTACGGATAAGTCAGTATTATATAAGAATCTCAATTTTATTTCAATAAAAGATTGTTTTGATAAATGAAATGATGGTGTGGGTATGAGTGTGAGTATCAGTAAAAGAAGCAGCAACATTCACACCTACAAGACATTGTCTTTCTATAATAGATAGTACGATTGAAGATTTTGGTAGTATTACTTAGAGAAAATTTGATTGTATACATTATTTGTATGTTCAAAAATTTCATATTTATGGGATCAGCTAGGACAAAAATGACTATTTTGTTTGTAGAATAAGTGTGATTGATTGCTGATACAGTTCTATTTTCAAATCTTAGCGTCACGTCTAACTATTCTCATTGGTTTTCGTTTAAAGTCTAGTGCCATTGTCACTAATCGAAAAATATTCGGCTAGTTGACTTTCTCCCCCTCAAAACTCGTCCTGTACCTCGTCGTGGTGGTGGAGGGGGGGGGGGGGGAGGGCGAACATCTAAGTATGGGACTGCTCGTTGAGGCTGCGCCATCAGTGATGAAAGCTTTGGCTGAAGAATCACCTAGGGCGCTACGCGAGGTGGACCGGCTCAACGAGAACCCTGAAAACGATGGCCAACACAGGCGGTGACCGGATGGCTCGTCTAGAGCGGATGCCAATATCTTCTTCGTAACTGTCAGCCACCTTACCTGCGTTCTTCCGGCAAGGAAACAGGGACATCCTCTGCCTACGTAATTCACTATGAGACAAAACCTAAATACTGTCACGACCAACGACGTAAACGGATCCCAAACATCAAGAGTGGGACCCCCGTCCGGCAGGGTCGGAAGTAAGACCGACTTGGTTGTCATCCGGCAAAAACCTTACAACTTACATTCACACTCATACAACCCTCACGCAAAACTTTTTCCGGCCAAGAAACCATTTCGTGCTGGCACGTGGAGCATAAGAACGCTCCTGGAAATAGGTGCAGCTACCATCCTCGTCTCTGAACTTGCGAAAGCTAAGATCAAAATGATGGCTCTTCAAGAAGTACGGTGGCCCGGTATCGGTGAAACAACATGTGGCTCTTATACAATTTTATGGCCCAGTTCAACCGTTGGCATTCCACGGTCTGCAGGAGTTGCTCTCGCACTCGATCAGACCGCCGTCGCATCCATGATCTCATGGCATCCAATTAGTGAAAGACTTTTGATGACCAAATTCAAACACAACTTCGGCTACCTCTCAGTAACAGTAGCCTATGCCCCCGTCAACGAAGCATGCAACAATGACAAAGATACCTTCTATCAACAAATTGAAAAAACAACGAAAACGACACATCAAAGTGACCTCATCATCTGTCTTGGTGACTTCAACGCCGTCACTGAAACATCAAAACTCTATGTGGACCACGTTATCGGCCCATATGGGAGCGGTACTCCAAACGGCAACACGGAGGGACTGCTGAACTTCTGCTTGGGAGCCGGCTTAAAAATCGGAGGTTGAGTGTGGGTGTGGGTGTGAATAGCGTCTGACCAAGACACCCACCCACACCCACACCCTCAGTCGATGTCGTATCTGGTCATTTCGATTGTATCATTAATCATTTGCGAGATTACTTACGACAACTTGCCTCTATGATCTAGGTATATATAAAATCAAAGATAGTTCGTTATTTCCTTCATAAAATAAAATAACATGAGTGATCGATTGATTTTTTTCTTACTGAAGAACGTTGTAAGTGTGTGTTTAGGTCTTCACTGCTTCCAAACTTCTATCCATGTAGCCATATTTTCTCTCTTTCTAAATTTAAGTTTAGAAATTGATATTTGTTATTGATCTTTGATGAATGAACTTGCTAAAGACGCTATAATTATGGATTAATTATTCCACGTTATGTACACGTAGATTTTCGTGAATTATTAAGGATCGAAATGAACATCGCAATGTATGGCTAAATATAGAACCAGCAAGTGCTCATCAAAGAATTGAGAATCTAATACTGAGAACTTGTTATGAAACTGACGGTAACGTCATCTGAAAGAAATGAGAAGACTCACGCCTATATGTATCTGTTTATATGAATCTTGATTGAACATACATTGACTTCTAATTGTAAACTTAATAAAAAAACAAGTAACGTTCATCGTCAAGCGATTCACTTAGCCCTAGACTGATAGAATACATGTACGGATGTAATAAAATAAAAAGCTACATTAAAAAAGTAATACGCAAAATGGATAATATGACCAGTATATCTTAGGCGAGCAGAAAACTTAATTTGGAGTATTCTCACGCTAAGTAAAGATAATGCATTTTACAAATTTAATTTTTTTTGTCGTTTTTGTTTTATTTTTTTTTGCTTTTATAAATATAAATAGCGCCCAATAAGATTAGACAAGAATACGATTTTTTTTGTAATTATATTGGCGCTATTTGTACGTACAAAAATATGAATTATATTATTCATAAAATTTGAGTTTTATTAATCAATATTTTATGCTTAAATTCGCGCATTAATTCTAAACTATTAATAAATTAGATATTCATTGATACAACATTGCACAATCAATCCTACAATAATGAATAATTTAAACGATTTCTTTAAATCCATACTGCTCATTTGGTCTGACTATCACTAATTAAATGCTTTTGTAAGCCGTTTTACACCACTACCAGAATTATAGTTATTTCATTGACATTTTACCGATGATTATTATGGGCTCATTTACATCAGTCTTTAGATGGTCATTTGTGCCATAGTTAACGGAATAGTTGTTTGTACCATGGTTGCTATATGGTCACCTGTGCCATAGTTACATGGTCGTTTGTACCAAAAAAATGACCGTTTGTGCCATAGTTACCTAGTTAATTTTAGTAAAAAAATGGCCGTTTGTGCCAAAAAATGGTCACTTGTGCCAAAAAAATGGTCACATGTGCCAAAAAAATGGCCATTTTGACCGCGTTACCGACAGACAGACACAGGTGAATTTCGGTTTCTAGACCCTAGCCTTTCAGTCTAGGGAAAAGAATATCTTTTATTTTTAAATCTATGCAAGTATGTTTCAAGTCCTCAAGTAACCTTTTATATTTGATTTATGATAGACGTTGCCATTTTTATTCGTTTGAAGAACGACTTCGATTAGAAAAAGAACGTGATAAACAAATTGCTAAAAAGAAAACGAAAGAATTTATTTAAAATTTTCTTATATATGTATGTAGTTTTTCCCTTGTTGTATATAGAAAAGGACATATTGTGAGAACTTATATTTTCAAAGTAATAAACTTGATTATTATTATTATTACGTAGATTGTGTGCTAATAGAAAAAATATTTTAGATGGATCTTTCTAGAAAGAGGGTGCCCGTGTATTCATAATAATATGAAATATTTCATGGAAGAACGAGTGATACAGCGTCTTTCTTTAGTTACACCTACCAGTATAAAGTCGTAGTATATGTGAACAAACACAGATGCCTTTAACATGACACCGGTTATAAAAATCGATGCAGACATTCGACAATTTGCACATTTTTAGTGTTATATTCAATATGCGTTGTTATCTTTTTGCTGCTTTTATCTTGATATTCATCATCAGTAATGTTCATTCCAATGAAACTGGTCCGGGCAAAATTTGCCTAACTTGTTGTGGCAGACCTCCATGTTGCAACTGTTGTGGTTTACCTGGTTGTGAGATTGAGATCAATATAACTACCACTGAACCGAATATCAAATCAACTACACCCAAACCAACTCGCCCCGGTTTCACTCACAAGCCCACTCGACCTCCTATGTGTCTCATGTGTTGTGGAAAACCACCTTGTTGTAACACATGTGGACTCGATATTAATCTCTCATAAATAAAATATTAATAAAAATCATTTTTTTTGTTAATTCTTTGATAATACCAATAAAAATCGTCGACACATTCCGAAGTCTTCTGATTTTTTCTATCATTCATTGGCTATACAAGAATCTCTCCTTTACAAATAAGATCGAACTAAGATGCCAGTAATTCAATTCCATAAGATTTGAAACAAATTTATTTTGTATCTGTGATTTGGTTCAATTGATGAAGCATTAACTTAGAGAAAAGCATTTCGAAGATTAATCGATTTTCACACAGCAGTCCAC